GGTAGAAAACATCAAGAAAGTATCAGAGACAGCTACTATGACAGAGATTCAAAAGATCTGCATGCTGGGATCTGCACGAATCCTCAGAAAGGTGCTCAGTGTATGAACAGAATGATTGACTTGAGTGACTGACGCTTTAGGTGCATGGTTTGCGCCCGGCTGATGCACAAAAAGAACACCAGCAAAGACTGTGATAATAGAGACAATAATAATAATCATAATAATCATAATAATAATAATAATAATAAGTAACTTGAGTTAACTTGGGTTCTTTGGCTTTCTGTACCAGCTTTTGATTGAGTGATTCGACGACAGATGACATCCAGCACTTTATTAGTGAGCGAAAAGCTTGAATATACGTTATTCAGCGCTAAATTTGTTCATCTTGATTTCAAATGACATACATCATTTACACGTCGGCTTCTGAAGACCAGGCTGGCAGTTTAGTAGTCTGCTACACTGCCGTTTTAAGTGTCGTCGCGCAACGCTCCTCGTGGGGAGAAGCGTTGCCGACACTAAAAACGCCTGTGTAGCAGACAAGCGGTTTAGTAAACGATTTTCAATCTTCAATTGCAAAACTACCTCCTACCAGGAACCAATCAAGTGTCCGCTCATGGACAACAGCCAATGAAAACTCAGAAATTTACTTAGTAGTCAACTTCAGTTTGGAAAGGAATAACCAATCAAAAACATTTTCGAATTAATTGATGTCCCCAGTCGTCCCCAGAGTCTTCCCTGGGTAGGTACGTGGTGTAAGCATCATATAGTGGTTCCCCGTTAGTTACTAGAAGCAGTGTACATAATCCTACATAGTCATACATAGCCATACGTAGCCATACACAGCCCTACATAGCCCTACATAGCCCTACCCGGCCCTACATATTCCTACACAGCCATACACAGCCATACATAGCCATACATAGCCATACATAACCCTACATAGCCATACATAGCCGTACATAGCCCTACATAGCTATACATAGCTATACATAACCCTACATAGCCCTACATAGCCATACAAAGCCATACATAGCTATACATAGCCCTACATAGCCCTACATAGCCCTACATAGCCATACATAGCCATACATAGCCCTACATAGCCATACATAGCCATGCATAGCCATACATAGCCCTACATAGCCATACATAGCCCTACATAGCCCTACATAGCCATACATACCCCTACATAGCCATACATAGCCCTACATAGCCCTACATAGCCATACATAG